AAAAAAAAAAAAAAAAAAAAAATTATCAGCATCTCCATGGGGCAGAGGCAATAAAACAGTAGCAGTAACAATACCCAGTCTTCTGTGGAAATTGAGACAGGGAGCAGATTTACTACATCATTAATATTCAAGCATGTCTATCTTTTTTCCCTTTTTTTAAATGAGAAGAGAAAGATCAGACCAGTAACTCATGCGAGGCTCACATAATCGTCTCAAACCATAATACAGTATATAATTTTAATCACAGAACTGGCAGTCTTTGCACATGGCTGGAAACAGCTGACGCTATGGTAGGGGCTCCCTCAGCAGAATACACAAAAGTGGAGTTGTTTTCATTGCCATTTAGTGGCCAGTCTATGGCTCGTGAGCAATGAATCTGGGAATCTCAGGGCAGTAGAGGCTGGCCATAATGTTAGTGAGCAACCTAATCAGCCATTTCACTCAGTAACAGAGAAGCAGACAACAGAACAAACATTGGGATCAACCCTCCCCACTCTGTTAGCCACTTTTCTTTGCTCATCTGATCATCTTTGCCTGCAATTTAATGGAAAAGCCCTCTTGCAGAAGGGAACCACCTAGTAGCATAAATTCAACTATGTATGGCAGGAGTAAACAAGCTCAGTCAAACCCAAGCTCCAACCTAGCGGTGGTTTCCAGAAAAAAAAGCAGATATGGCAGAGGTGGGGGTACGCACCTAACAGCATAGTGAGTTTCTGCTGCCATAAATTAGAACAACGTCTTAGCTGCCCCATAATGACAGCTAAGTTGGCTTGAATCCCTGATGGCTCTGAAACCTAAAGGACCTGATTCTTTTCTTACATCAGTTGTACAATTACTGATATCAATGGGACTATACAAGGGCTTAAACTATTCTCTGAAGTGGAATTTGAAAGGACAGAAAGAAATACCTAAATTAATGCCTAAGTGGTGGTGGTAGTGATGTTTTATGAGACAATTTGAACAATTTTTTTTAAATTCCCAACAAATTTTTTGTTTTATAAAAGGTAATTGAAACATGAACAATTACCCATTTCTGAAAACAATTTTGGATAAAAATGCTTAGATTTTGGTTTGCTGCTTTTTTTGCTCTCTCCCCCCCCACCCCCCAACCCAGTATCCAGGTGCTTAAGGAAGAAAGCATGGTTAGTGGTAGATTAGTTGCCCTTGGTGTGGGATGTGCCATATTCCTTGTCCTCCTTGAGGACAGAAATAGTTTTCACTTGCACAAAGCTGGTGGCCATGTTGATAACAGTGGAGAGAATGAGGACTTTCTGGAGTGGAGGCATGAACCATTTCTGCAGACAGCATACCAAAGAATAACAGAGGACTGCGAAGGAGAAACTGAAGAAAAAGTAAGGTACCTGGCAGTTGTGATTTCAGAAGACAAAAGAGAACCACAGAATATCACACACACACAGAAACATGCAATCACTGTCAGAAATTCAGTATAGGTGGTGTTGCTCAGAGTGTTTCAAGATAAATGAATGGGTAGAAGAGATGAGAAGCAGGCCTCACTAATACCGAGAGAGGAACTAGCAGATGGCAAAAGTCGCACAGCTCTAGGAATAGGGGTTCTACAATCACCACACCCAAAGGAGAAGGATGATGATAGTGGTGACTAGGGACTCCCTCCTGAGTGAAATGGAAGCACCCATTTGTAGCCTAGATCTAGAATCCATTGGAGACATGCTACATCCCCCTTAGCTTGCATTCGGGACATGCTGGAGAGTTTGCCACAACTCACCAAGCCCTTGGTCCTCTACCCCTTCCTACTCATCCATGTGGTTACTAATGATGCTGTCAGAAGTGACCCCAAGCAGTTTAAAGGATGCTATGAGGCTCTGGAGAGTGGATTTCCAGGAGCCTTGGGTACTGGTGTTATTCTCATGGGCCTCTCTCTTTACCAGGGAGACTAATTAGGGATCACTGCATTCCAAAAGCAAAGAAAGGTACGATTGGTGATGGTGATGTCAGCAGGAAGGCTTTGGTTTCTTTGATAATGGGTTGATGTTCCACAGAAAAGGATTGAAATCCAATTCAGAGGGTGGGAAGAGCATGTTTGGACATCAACTCGATAACCTGGTGATGAGTGCCTTAACCTAGGAATATGGCAATGGGAAAAAACAAGACAAAACAAAAAAACGCCACACATTGGCCAATGAACATTTAGGATCAAGAGATGAAGACCAGGAGAAGGGGATTAACTCTGAAGAAGGACTAAAATAAATGCAAGAGGAAAAACAGAAGGGCTGTCCACAGAGGCATCTTCAATGCCTACCTAAGAGAATAAAGAGTATTGTAAAAATACAGAATGGACTGGAAAACAGTCTGTTAAGATAATTATCATCTAAAATAGCTTTACAGAACTTGGTGGAGATAATTCTCCATGACTGGAATATAAACACTGAGATCAGTAGCTTGTTCGAAATGGATAGATATGGAAAGAAAGACGACAATGCACTACTAATTAAGAATGTATAGACTTGCTCCAAAGTTCAAGATGAAGAGAAATATTTTTTTTTCCCATAATTGATTTTTTTTGTCCACTCTGCACTGTTCTCCCATGCCACAGTGGGCAAGAGTAAGGGAACAATAACAGAACAAGTTCCCAATAGAAGTTATAAAAGCTCCTTCACTGCAGGTTTTCAAGGTGAGGATGAATATATCCTGTTTATGTGGGATACTTCTGGAGCAAAGCATTCCATCTATACAGAGTACAATGGAATACCATATCCTGTATCTGTGCAAAGGGTTGGACTAGATGACATCTGGTATCTTTTCTAACTATGATTTTATGAGGTCAGGATCAAGAGAAACTGCCTTCCTGCTATGCGGATAGAGAAT